CAGCCATTACAACATCTGGTTTTTCTCCTATCTCCACTTCACATTTAACCTGGCTCTGCTTATCCTCCCTTCCCTGAGTTCAGTGCTACTTCAACTCTCCATCCCCTGTTCACTAGCACCTTCGCAACTGTAACGACGACCCATTCTCTACCTGCGACACCAAATAAGTCTCTGTATTTTACTCTGTGGGCCTCTCCTGTCCACCTTTCCTCATCAGCTAATCACCTTAGACTTTTTTGTGCTCTTGTTTCACCCTTCCTGCCTTTTCTTGCTGCCAGTGCACATTGTCCCTAGAATGGGATATTACCCTCTTTTGATTGGTAGGCTCTTGTTTTCTTTGGTCATTCTCTTTCATCTCTTGTTTCCTTCCTCCTGTTATCACTCCTCTTTTCCCCACTATCTCCTGGGGATTGAGGTGGCAACTGAGGGGTTTTGGTTGCTGTATGATCATCTGGCTCCATGCCCCTCCTTCGGTGCAATGCTTGAATGATGAGACTTGGAACAGGAGCCAGTATTTTTGTCCCTTGGGCTTCCATGGTGACTGCTTTGCATTCTACCCCATCCACAGAGCAGTGCCAGAATGGAACTACTTGGAATGGAAAAAGAGTATATCTGTCCCCAAGGCCAGTTTAGTTACCAGTGCCTACACCTTTTGGATTTCTTCTTCCTAGAAAGAAGAGACCTTTTCTGAGATCTGTATATTGTTTCCCTGCTCTTTAACTATTTAAAATTGGAGGTCAGCACTGGAAGGATCATCTGCTACCACAGTTTAACTGTGTAGGAAGAGGAGAAAATGTGACTTTTACCCAGGTCAAAACACAGGTAGAACACAGACCTTCTGCTTCCCCTTTCAGGGCCATTTTCACTAGCTCACATGCCCTTCTCATCAGGTTGTTTCTATTTCAATTCTTTCTGGAAACTTCCACTTAGTTTTCTCTGGTTGTGATCCTGGCCACTATTCAGAGACAAGGGGAAGAATTTTAGTGATTCCTACCTGTTTCTTGAATTTCCATCTTCTCTTCTACCCATTTTTCTCTGCCTCCATGACACCAACAGGTGGAGAAGTAACCAATTTCAGAAGACATTACCAAAACATGACTTTCTTGTGCATAATGTGGCCTGTTCCCACAGAATCCCAGAAAAAAAATCAATGCCACATTAAGTGTTGCAGTGAAAGTGACTTTACAGAAGAACTAAAAAACATATCCTCCCAGGCATACTGGGACTTCACTCAGCTATTCAAGAGCAGAGGAAGGCCAGATTCCCAATGTGGATGTCTGATGTGAGAGGAGATGTAGGGGTTCATCTTAATTACTCTTCAGGGTTTCTCAGCTCCTGAGTCCCTTTAATCTACCCACATCCTGAGAGGGGTCTTTGGAGAGCTTCCTTCTTTGAGTCATACCCCACCCACATTCCGGCAGAGAGAGCGTCTCTGTGCCTTCCCATCCTTCTTTCCTATGGGCTAATACATGGGCTCCCTAGGAGAAGAGGCCCTGGGGGTTCCCCCAAGATATGGAACAGGGGTTGCTGTCTGCTCCAGACCTGTATATGCTCGCTGTCTCTTTTTTCTTTTCAGATGAATAAAGCTTACATAAGCAATGGCTTCCCCTTAGTTTAGAAGTATGATCATTAAGAAACTGCTGTAAGCATGTGTGAGGGGTGGATTTATCGACTGTGGGAAACCCCCTCGCTTCCCTGCTTCCTCCTATATGAATGGTCAAAGTATCAGTACCTGGCTGGGCCAGAGGGGCTCCCAGTCCTGAGGCAACACTTGAGTTCTCTGAGACCATTCATTCATTCATTCATTCATTCATTTGTCATTCATCAGGTCAACAGACTTGTATTGAAAATCTGCTCTGTGCTTGGTGCTGGGAACACAGTGGTCCTGGTCTTCGTGAAGCTTAGAGTGGAAGAACACAGATAGCAAAGTGGCTATGCAGCCTGGTTAGAGTTATGGTAAGGGGCACCTGAGGTGCAATTGGAGAGGTCCTGGGGGCAAGCTTGGTGAGGTGGAGGGAAATCTTCCTGGAAGAAGTGACAACTAGGTTTGGAAGATGAGGAAAAATGGGCCAGGTAGAGGGAAAAGAGAGGGGGGGGGTGTTACAGCAGGAGAAGCAATGATAAGGAGCTCAGAGGTGAGAGAGAATGGGGCAGATTCTAGGAATATAAAAAATAGTTGACTGCCTGAGGGCAAAGGGGTCATGGTGGGAAAGGTGGTTGGAAAGATGACCCCTACCAAGTCATTTAGACTTCAAGAATCAGCAGTTATGGCCCATGTGGGACAGTATCTGATTTGCACTGCAGACTACAGCCTGGCTGTTGGACTAAGAATGGGTGGAGGGATGAAATGATGGTGGCCTGGACCAGACATGTGACAATGCAGAAGAAAAGTAGTCTGGTATGAAGGGTTTTTAGGGGGCAGGGCCAGCAGATCATAAGGATTTGATGGGTGGGAGAAGGATAAATGACACCAGATTTCTGGGGTGCTGGAAGTGTGGGGTCCCTTCACTGAGATAAGAAACACAAGGAAGAGTAGGATGGAAGAAGATGGTAAATTTGGTGTAGGCCATGTCAAGTCTCAGGTGCCAGGGTCCCGCTATGTAGAGTGGTCAAGTGATGCAGCAGCCAGCAGTCAAACATGGGGTAGGAAGAGTTTGAGTGGAGACACCAGCGTTTGCATCCCTGGAAGCCCTGGGAGCAGATCAGATGGCCCAGGGATGGCCCCAGCACAGGAGTGACAATATCCCAGGAAAGAAGCACGGGAAGCACCAGCACCTAAGGGATAGGCATGAGAAAGAGAGTTCCCTAAGGAGAGCAGAAAGAAGCAGAAAAAGGGTTGGAAGGGTTCCCTGAGGTTGTCATGTCCCAGCAGCTGGGGGAGGAAAGGGTTTCAGGAAGGAGGGAGATTCACACTGTCAAGAGCCCTGGGTTCCATGGCTCAGGGTCCTCCAACTCTCCCCTCCCCCCACACTTTGGCACTGTTAACACCATTATCTCCATCTCCACTTTGGCCCAGGATATTTTTGGTTCAAGTCCTACTGGGTCCTGCCCCTGACTTCTCTGTCACAATGTCTATGAGCAATGACTGATCTTGTCTCAAGGTCTCTTCCCTTGGCAGCATTGCTGGCCACCTAATAAGAAGTTTCTACGTTGGAATCCTATGTTTCTAAAGTGACTTTATGTTTCTTCATTTCCATAAGCTCATTTATTTGGTTTCCAAAACATAATTCAAGAACCTCTATTTTTAATTTTGTAATTTAAAATATTTTATTGTGGTAAAACACCCATAACATAAAATTTGCCACTAGCCACTTTAAGTTTACAGCTCAGTGGCACCAAGCACAGTGGCACTAAATGCACGGTGGCACTACGTGTCGCTGTGCAGCTCCTGGCACTGTCTGTCTTCAGGACTCCCCTCTTCCCACACTGAAACTCTGTACGCCTGAAATACTAACTACATATTCCCCCTCATCCATCTCTGGCAACCATCTTTCCACTTTCTCTTTCCATAAATTTGACTACTCTAGGTACCTCACATTAGTATTCACATAAATACAGTGTATTTGTCCCTTAGTAACTGACTAGCTTACTTCGCAGCATAATTTCCTCAAGGTTTATCCATGTTGGAGCAGGTGTCAGAATTTCCTTCCTTTTTAAGGCTGAAGAACATACTTGTAGACCTATGCATGCAGACCACATTTTACTTATCCATGTAGCTATCAATGGACACTTGTGTTGCTTCCATGTTTTAGCTACTGCAAGTAATGTTATTCTGAACGTGGGTGTACAGATATCTCTTTGAAGCCTGCTTTCAATTCTTTTCAGTAAATATCCAGAGGTGGAATAGCTATATAATAGGATAGATCTATTCTTATTTTTTGAGGGTCTCTCATACTGGTTTCTGTAGCAGCTGTACCATTTTACATTCTTAACAACAGTGCACAAGGGTTCGATTTCTCCACATCTTCGCCCAAGAGCTTCCAGTTTAAGGAATGAATTTGACCTGTTGGCATTTCCTGTGATCACTGATATTTTGGGATCTTAGATTGTTTTGCTCTGTGGGCTTCCTCTAGGTTATTAACTGCTAGAGGGAAGAGTCTCCGGTCCGTCTTGCTTCTGAGTCATAAGGCTGATTGTCTCTCTCCACCTCTCTTGCTTCTTAGGCCTCACTTGCTGGGAGAGTGGGTAACATGCGGTGACTGATGAACCACCAGCTCCTGGTTCTAGCCATGGCAGTGTCTCAGTGAAACCTGGCACTGTCTTGAGGACACTTCCTAAGTGCCCACTCCAGTGTCCTGGAGGACATTTTACACTTCAGAGTTTCAGGAACTGTTTGCAAACATCACTAAGACTGTAAAGACCAAGATTATGAATGAGACCCAAGAAGCTACCCGGTAATTCTGAAGAGTGAAAAGGTAGGCCCAGCTTTTCCCTTTGGCATCATTAGTGGGGAAAGGGTGGGAGGGGATCCTTTGAGGAGGTCTCAGCCTCATCACCTGCACCACCCCCTGTCTCTCCTCTCTTCTGGAACTTCAGAGACCTCCCTAAAGGGATCTAGGAGCCAGGCCCAGGTGCCTTCCCAGACTCTACAGTGCTCCCAGCAGCCTCTCCCAGTCCCGGAATGAGGTTGTCACCAGCCTTAGTGTCCCCATTTGAGTTTGCTCACAGGCCCAGCTGCATCTAGGGTTGGATCAAGACCCTAGTAGTCTTGTTTCAGCATGGAGGGCATGGCAGAAAAGAAAGAGGAGACTGGCTACCCCAGGGGGAAGAGGGCAGCATTTCTGTTTTGTTCTTTTCTATCACTCTTGGCAGACTCCTCAGTCCTGTGCTTTGATGAGGAGCTCACCACCATAAATGAGACTTTGAAGCTGGGCTTTGATCTGTAAGGTAAGCAACTCCATGGAGTAGTGAGTGTGGGGAGGGCAGAGTGTGGGCAGTAAACGTGGGGGCTATGGCCATGTTAACCAGGCTGACTTTTGCTGTCTACCCCTCACCCTCAGAACAATGCACTCAGAAGTCAGCGAAAGACTATGCCTACATCTACTATGTGGATGAGATGAACGGGAAGCCGGCCTGAGTGACCGAGTGCATTCTATGGATGAAATTGAAACTTAACTGTCACCAGGACAAGTGCCAGCTGCAGAAAAGTGGCCCCTGATGCCTGCCAGTGCCCAGCCACTCTTAGCCTGGTGCCCACACTCTCTGGTGGTAGAGCCACACCCTTGCCCACAGTCATCTGAGAGGGCAGGATGGGGGTGGGCAGAGCTCAAAAGGCATCATCTCCCTGCTCCCCTACATCCTTTTTATTGCTACTTGGGACTCCCATCACACCCAACCCCACCAGAGGGAGAGGGAGGCACAGATTACAGACCTGAGCATCCTAGGACTGAGCAAGTTCCTTTCTGAGAAAATTTCAGTTAGTTCCAAGTCTATATCTATCATCCATTCTCTTTTGTTATCACAGCCATGGACCTATTGTTATGTCCAGCAATAAGTTCAGGAAACTATAAACTAAAGTACAAAAATCATAACATGATAAGAGGCTTGTCATTGTGCCAGCTACTTAGAGATTAGGTAGAAAGAGGCACCTATCACTCTCAGATTCTGAATTCCTGCTTTGCGCTCCTAGGTTCCCACCATCCCCTCACTGCCCCCTTAGCCTTGGGGAGTCAAGGAGGGTACCTAGCACCTGCCTTCAAAGTGAGAGCTGGTTTCCTGGGCTTTGAAATTGATTTTTTCTTTCCCTTTTCTTTTTCACATCCCAAAAGAAATTGATTTTTTCTTTTGGGATGTGAAGGATGTCAGTGGGCTGGCCTCAGCTTGCAAGTGTGTCCCCAGATGTCCAACCTCAGGCACACACTGGTACTGGGCAGAAACCTGTGAAATGAGTGCCAGCAAAAGCTGGGTGTGCAGGAGTGTGGGGGCCGTGCTGGTACTACTGATGGTCATGGTGGTTGGCCTGACCATCTTCTTTAGCTGATTCCAGAAGAAACTGCACAGGTGAGCTTCTGAGCTGGGCCTAATGAGGGGCCCACATTTGGAATATCTCCGCTCTGCTTCTTTTAGCTCAGCAACTGGATGTCAGCCAAGGCCAACAGGATCCAGTCCCTCCCAGCTGTGGATACAGCACAGAGTAGCCTGCTGGTCTAATAGGGTGTATCTGTTTGGCAGAGAAATGGAAACTAACACTTATGTACTGAAACTGCATAATGCAATGAAATGATGTGGCATTTGTAATCACCTTGGCTGTCACAAAGTCCAGGACACCAGAATGCTGGGAATGGCCACACTAGGACACTGATAATGTGCTGTCTGATGTCACTTTGCCCAGCTGCAAAACAAATAAGATCCATTTGAGAAAGTTGCCATGAAATACCACTCAGCACAAGCCTTGGCCAGCAGTCGGCAAAGGGAGCCACTATGACAGTAGTCCAGTGCCCCCACCTCACAGACAAGGAAACCAAGGCCCACTGAGAGGAGTGGAGGCAGGGCAGGCTATGGTGATGTTCCCAGGCATGCTCTTTGTTTTGGACAGCTCCTCCCTGACTCAGGGCTTGGCCATGGTCAGACCCTTCTAGAAGCCGACAGTCAGGGCCTCCTGAGCCCCCTCTTCCATTTCTCTGCCATCAGCTGCTCACAGCCTTTCTGTTAGCAGGAGAGAGTATAATGTGCTTGAGAGTGGCAAAGAGAAGCCATCCTTGGCAGTTTCAGGAACATAGATATCTGGGAAGGTACCTCTTGTCTGGGGCAAAATGGGGTGGGCAAAGCTGGAGGGTTAAAGGCTGGGAAGGCATCTCAGCCAGAACTGGTGTGGCTGTGGGTGACACTCATCCTGCCAGCCCATCCCACATCTGCTTTGACAGCCAGCTGCTCTACAGCATCCTGACCTGGAGCTCCCACAAGCAACCCCTGATGACCTCCAGTCTTTTCTCGGCTGCTCCAGCTGGTGTGCAGTCTCAGCCCACCATTTCCCTCTTCCACGCCTTTCAGCTATGGCACCATTGTCTGGAGGTTCCCCTCGCCCAAGTCTCTGCACACCCGCCCCCCAATACTGTTCTATTCCCAAGATCAGGTTCAAACATTGCCTCTCTGTGAAACCTCCTGTGTGTTCAGCCTCCTCTGGCTCCCAGAGTTCCTAGCAGCCCCAGGCCCAGACGCTGTGGAAAACTATCATGTCATGGCTGTCCACCCCCATCCCCACCCCTGAGCAAATCTTGCCTCCTCAGTCCTCCTGAAAACACTATGGAGGGGCAGCAGGGAGGGCTGGGAGCTGGTTCCTGCTCCCGGAGAGCACCCTGAGTGAGGGCAGCAGACACACACAGTGTGAGGGATGATAGGATCATGTCCAGAAGTCTGTCCGACCCAGTCTGCGTAGAGGGTGTTGCCTGAACCTGATTCACTGTGGACTTAGAGCACTGCTACCTATGAGCTGTGTAAGCTGTGTACTGCCTGCTTCCAGTGAAAAGCAAGGCCTTACTTACCCTAGTGAGAAGGGACAAGGTGTTCCAGGCAGGGGGCACTGCTTTAAAAAAGGTGTGGAGGTGAGAGTGTGGCCTGCACTGAGACTGTAGGCAGGTCCATGGACATGAGGTTTGCAGAGCCAGGTCATGGAGGGCTTCTTGGGCTGCGATTGGAACACCCACTGTAGGGGTTTAAGGAAGGGGGCCAGGTGTGCATTTTGAGCAGTTCACTCAGGTGCATTTAAGGAGACAGCACTAAAGTGGGGAGACTAGGGGAGTGGCTTCCCAGTAATACAAGCGAGGGACAATGAAGCTGAGCAAAGGCAGTGAGGACGGGGAAGAGTGGACAGTAAATGAAAGAGTTTAGATGCCAGTGAGAGGGGCAGGGCTTGTTGCTTGCAGGCTTGGGGAAGGAGAAAGCCTGGTTCTGGGGTTTGGGGGGACCACTGCCTGAGGCAGGACACAACAGGGAGAAGCAGCAGGGGGTGCCTGCTGAGTGGGGTCTGACTGGGGCTGACAGAGGATGAGGTGGGTAGAATGTGGGCATGGGAAGGGAGGGAGGCACAGACAGGGTCCTGAAGATGAGCTTGAAGAAGGCCAAGAGGAGTGAGTGGTCAGGAGGGTTCTCTTAGCCCGTGGCAGAGGAGAAAGTTACCTGAAAGACTGGGGAAGTGGGTGCTGAACCCATGCCAACTTGAATGAGTAGATTCAGGGCACAGCTGGTTTCTGCCTGCATGTTACCATCACTGAGTGTGTATTGGTGACCCTGAGCAGTCCCTTCCCCCCGCTGCACCCTGACTCCAGTCACTCCTGTGCCACATTCACCATGGCCATGACTTCTGACCCCAAGACATATCAGGGTGCTACTGCTGTGGTTCCTTCCTGTCCCTGTATCACAATGGGACAGCTTCCCAGGCTCCAGAGTTATCAAGACCCGCCTCATAGATAAGCTACAAGGGTAGAAAGATGGATGAGCTGCCATGGGCTATGTAGTTTAGGGCAGATTTGGACTATTCCTTTTTTAAAAGATTTTATTTATTTATTTTTAGAGAGATAGTAAGGGAGGGAGAGAGAGAGAGAGAGATAGATAGATAGATAGATAGATAGATAGATAGATAGAAACATTGATGTGAGAGAGAAACAGATCAGTTGCCTCTTGACCAGGGACCTGTAATCCAGGCATGTGTCCCTACCAGGAATCGAACTAGTGACCTTTTGTTTTTCAGAATGATGCCCAACCAACTGAGCCACACTGCTATCAGGGCAGGACTCTTTCTTTCACTAGAAAAAATTTCCCCCTTTATGTCTCTCCAGCCTCCCCCAACCCACTCTCATCCCAGTTGTTCTCCCCACAGATGATAATTTGAAGAACAAATTCAGCCTTGAAACCACCGATAGCCACTTCTGGCCCTTCCTGAAGAATGTGGACCCTACCACAGCTAGGAGCTGCTCCCATTTCCCCACTTCTGCCCACCCCCCACCCTGAGGCTTCCAGAGAAGGGCAGGGCACACATGTTCCAGAAGCAGTCCTCTGTCCTCACCTCCTCTCACGGACCCTCCAGCTGCACATTTAGAGGCCCAGTGAGGTGACGGCTGATCAGGGAGTGGGGCAGTGGGGGGGAGTGGGGCAAGCCTCACCCAGATCTGGACAACAAGACAGCAGCAGACAGAGAGCCCACCACGTCAAGAGGAAACAGATGTTGGGGCCCAAGGCGGTGAGCTCGGAGCCGACAGACTGGGCCCTGACTCCTGCTGCGAGCCCCACGCAGCTCACAGGAGTCCCAAGGTTGCCCAGACACCACTGAATCCTTGTTTGTTCCATCCACAGTGACTCCTCACTTTGGAATTTCCCTACCAATAAAAAAGTCTAAAGAGCAGAGTGTGGTGTGTTCCTTCCTCTCCTGCAGTTGCCTCTGGAAAGGTCCTGCTTGGGGAGGGCACTCCTCCCAGGGTTGGGTGTCAAGTTTGGACGTGGGGTGCTTTTCTCCCCTTCTCGTGCTAACATGTGGAACACAGGGCTGCTCACCTGCTCCAGGCTGGGCAGGACTGGGGCCACCTCTGCCTGGGATCCCTGTGGCAGGTGAGGCTACAGTCAGGTTCTGGTAAAAGAAGTGAGCACTCAGGGAGTCAGGGGTGAGAGCAAAGGAGGGAGCATTTGGTTCTGCTGACCTTGAAGGGGTGCCCAGGTCATTCCAGATGGCCATGGGGCCCATGTGCACAGTGAACACACAGATCTCTGGGTCACAGACCCAAAAACTCTCAGTCATCCCAGGGTAGTGTGGCCATGACGTGCACCCAGTGTCCTGGGGGCTGGGGAGGGTTACCCACAGGAGCTGTACAGAGGGTTTGGCAGAGGGGATGGAGTCAAACACAGGGCACCTTTCTTCTCCAGGCTCAGGTAAAGTCCCCTCTCCTCCTCCCCTCACCTCCCTTCAGGGACCTCCTCAGTTCTCCCAGGCTGCCTCAGATGCTGTGCCTGCCTTTCTGTTGGGGTGTGTCTATGTGCTGCCTGCAGGGGAGGTGCTCCCCCTTCTCTGCCCTTTGGCCTGTCATGTGTGAAACTCCCAGACTGACTCAGATGTTCCCCATTCCTCAGATCTCCAGTGTTTCAAGATCA